TCGCAACTTGGTCATATTGGTAGGAAGACTTAGAGGAACGCATCTAGTCCGGAGTCCATTGTATGCATGAGCATGTCCAAAGTCGGACTGTGTAAGTGGTACTTTCCAAGATCTTTCGCTGGCATCGTATTTCTAGAATATTACCTTGCCAGTCATTTCCCTTGACATCTCCCTGAAATATAATAATGAAATCATTTGCTTCAATAAGTTGATTTCATAATGAATTTAAATTAGTCAAATATTATTTACTCAGGTATTATTTCCCAGGGCATTATATATCACTTTTTCTCTTTATCATACCACATTTTGATCCAGGAAAATGAGAAAACGAAAGATTTAATAATTGAACCTAGAATTCAAGTGATTCTACTTCGTGGCACCCCTGGGACTGCATCTCCAATGCGCCAGTACATTTACGAGGCCTTCCCCAAAGTATCTGTTATCTGGCCGGATGGCGTCCGCGAAGCCATGCAATCCAACCGAGCTGCTGCCACTGGTTCATATACGTCCCAAGGAGAGGATATTCGTTCTGCTACAAGTTCTGCGGCGGCACCTGGCACGAGTATCGTGCAACTGCGTGGCCCTCGAAACGATGTTAACGCAGCGTCTGAAATTCTGACGAAGCTAGTGAAACGGTTAATCGAGGAAAACCATACTGAAGAGGTAATTCTATCGGAATATGGGTCAAGCTGGAACGAATAATATTGTAATTTTTATAGGAATTTAGAGTAGTATATGAGCTTGGGCTTTTTCGTTTCTCATTTCATTGTCATAGGATCCCAATCTTATTACTTCATATCGTCAATACTCCCTTGCGAGAACACAGGTGTTTGTCGAAATCAGTGCCACTGTTTCCCATTTGTACATTTATATAGCGTTTGTTTTCTATACCCAATTTATTGACGCGCGTTGATTATTTTTCTGCATCATTAGCTCAGTCTACATTTCATAAAGGATTATTTCCTTCTGGTGTTCAGGAAATTTTTTTATATAGCCACTTTGATGTTCATTTTAGGATCATTCTAATTTTATTTGTGAATGTGCACGGAATTTGATCAGCAATAGCAGAAGCTTTAAAATTATAACTTATCAAATGGACCTTAGTCGTTTTATTTGGACCGCCCTAGCCCATTTTACATCTAAGCAAGGCATTGTTTGTATTAATAGCTTCACAAATACGGCTCGTATAAAAAATTGCATTTCCAGACGCTGAAAGGCCTTTAGGAATGACCTATGCTGTCTAAAACGGCTATATTTTGACTTGGCCTATCAGCACGCTTATTTCGATATCTTCCTCGGCGGTTGGAATCTTTTTATAAATGGAGCTGATCCAGCCTTTCTATTCATT